GGTGGGAGGGGCCTAGCGGAGGCGTGGAGGATGGGCCGAGACCCGTGCCTGTAGCCACCGCAGCCTCATGGCCCACAGTGCCTTTCAAGGTGCATGAATTCGTGCACTGGGCCCCTGGTCATAATATAAACTGACAAAACCTAAATCTTGGAAAGAACTCAAGCAAAGATGGATGGGTATCTGGGTCCACAGGAACTTCCCAAGTTGTGCCCAGAACATGTCCTCTGTATGCAGGTGCAGGGACTCCAGCAGGTAGTGCCCATCCCTATTCATGTCTGTGTCAAGCCTGTGCAGACCTTGCAGCATGGAGAGATTCTAGGTGGGAGTTTGTGGATACATCCTTTCTACCCCTACCTAACACACACATACACACACTCACAGGAAGAGCAACCGTTTGTCTCCAGGATGGGAAAATAGCAAACAAATGTAATTATTCTGTACATTCAATAAGATTAACCAGAAGTGTCTTCCATCTCCTGAGCCTACCATTATTCAGGAGGTGAATTCTCAGAGCATCTCAGGAAGGGTGGAGCAGGACTTCAAGGAAAAAAATTTTAAGACACCAAAGAAAGCCACTGGGCCATCTATATACCGAATAGTACCAAAGCTCTTCTTGCTGTTATAAGAAAATCCAAGGAGCCCTGGCCATTGTGGCTCAGTTGGTTGGGCGTCATCCCATGTGCCAGCAGGTTGCTGGTTCGATTCCTGGTCAAGGGCACATGCTGGGGTTGCAGGCCGCATCCCTGGTGGGGGATGTGCAGGAGGCAGCTGATCGATGTTTCTCTCTCATCGATGTTTCTAACTCTCTCTCTCTCTCGCTTCTTCTCTGTAAAAAATCAATAACATATATTAAAAAAAAAGTTATATGTGGATTTTCACAGGTGGGAAGGGAATGGGTATGCACCTACCCATCCCCTAATTCCAACCCTCTAACTATATATTTCCAAGTGGGCAGTATAATGGTTAATAACATAGTCTCTAAAGATAACAGCTACTATATTTTAGGCAATGTGACTAGGAAAGGCACCTTGATGAAGGGAACATTTGAGCAGAGACCCAAATGAGGGGAACGGATTGGATGGAAGAGAGCATGAACACTAACATGGGGTAGATGGCTAAGATAGACTGTCACATGATAAAATAAATCTTCAAAATACCTAAAAAAGAAAATAGGCACGCACATACATACAGCACCACAAAGTGAATGTAGGTACTTTAGGAGCTGGGAGAGCAAAGAAGACAACTATGATGTGAGAGTCTTTAGCTTTCCTGTAGAACATTCATGTTTAGAATGATAATATGTTCATGTACTACTTGTAAAATTAATTAAAAAATAAGAGAGCCAGTTCCCTCATTGGTAAAATTGAGATAACAGTGGTACCAACATGGCGGGAGGGTGAGAATTAAATGAGAAAATGTGTGCACCGTGTCTGGGAAAATAGTAAACACTCAGTAACTGTTAGTATGAATAATGTTGAACACATGGATGATGGCAGGCCATAAGTAAGTGACACAGGGGCACCGACCCAGCTTGTTCCTGTTGGAGAGGAGGGTCGCCGTGCAGTGGAGGACATGAGGCAAAGCGGCTTGCACCAGCTCCCATCTGGAAATACTCTGGATGGCTTCAGAGAGGGCCGGAGAGAGGCCATGCAGCTTGTTTTCTACCAACACTCGTTCAAAGGACTATAGATGCAAGAAGAAAGAAAGAAAGCATCTAAAATAAGGATTCAGAGAGTCTGACTGGTGAAAATAATGACATCAAAGTACTGTAGACCCTAAAAGATGCAAATTACTGGGCCTGATTCTTTAGCGTGCACCTACATTGAATTGTATTGCTTTTTAAAAAACATGCAGTGGCTCAGTAATAATTTCCTATTATCTACCCATTTTCAGGTTTTTATCCAAAGTATACGGCTTGAATTATTAAATGATTACCATACCCATCAAACTAAGCTTACTCTAACAAAGAGTACAACACAATCAATTCTTGCAATTTGGGGCTGTAATATTTTATAAAATGCTGCTAAGTCATCCAAAGAGGGTGTCACAACTGCATAACAAAGTGGAATGTCTTTTGTAAAAGTGTCTTGAGGAACAGAACATATGTCAATGTTCAACAAGTGTTAAATAAGATATACTTTTTCAAGAAACCTAACTTTGGAATTATTAATGTTCATTGCATGTAAATGGCTAATTATTTCGTATCTATAATCTGGTAATAGATTTATTTTGTAGATTATAAATAATAATAATAGCAATAAAAATAAAATACTACTTTAAATGAAAGTCAAAAAATAAAAAAAGAAATTGAACTTTGGAGTCCCTGAATTATTATCCCGTGTCCCCAGCAATGACAGGGCACAGGACACTCCTTATCTAATGATTGGAACCATAAAGATACCTGTTGAGTAAAGAAAGGAAGGGAGAGGGAAATGGGTGGGTGGGAGGGAGGAGGAAAATGAGCATTTTCTTTGGTGGTTTAACGCTTCTGTCCTGGCCCGGGATATTTTCTGAGAGGGTAGTAACCCATAAGAAGTTTGATTGACTCAGGTTTGTTGTTGTTGTTTGTCTGTTTTGAATAAGTATATATCACTATAAAGTGTTGAGGAAAGTGTAGCTACAAAATATAAAATAGATTTAATAATTATTTGACTTGTATGAACAGAACCCAATTGGCACTCAGCACCCCAAATGATCTAGAAAACTGTGTAAGTGTGCTCTAGAGTGATTGTAATGAAATCCCGAGTGTTTGAGCAGTGTTATCTTAATTATTAGAATACTTGAAAAAAAGAAATGTGGCTTAATGCAGATAGTCTCCAAAGGAAACTATTTACTTTTTGACCCAAAAAAGGAAAATGAGAAACTCATAATGAAAAGCATGCTGAAGTTTTGGTAAGGAGTAAAGTCAGAGATCCAGTCTTTTTTATTTTTAAAGAAATGAAATAAAGGCCTTTGGGTATGCTGGCAATGCAAATTCAACTATATTTAAATTTCTCAGCCTTCAGGTAATTTTTACTAGGTAAAATAACTTTCAATTTAGATATTTATACCTCTATATCTACCTATCTATAAATGTGACTTAGCTATTTAATATCATGTGACATT